AACGTCATATATAACACGATGATAATAGTAACAACTTACTAGTTTATTGGAAACGTAAGACAAGAGGCTAGGTAGCTCAAGAGTGGGATTTGCACCTTCAACTATGGAAAGATATTATTAGGACCCACCCGGTGTGACAACATCTATCATAGACATAGGTGAATTGCTCAGAGGGATGCCGAAACACGATAATAAGAAGAAAAAATGGTAACGAGGAGACCGATATAGTGAGCATGTGTATGACTCACGGGGATGCCAATATATCTCACCTCAGGTTCTGCAAAGCATCGTGAAGCAAAACGAATAGCGTATGGTAACCAAAGGCCGACTCGAGTATCATTCGTGTGAGTATAGGGGTCAACATGGATGTCCAAAGTTTCGTTGTTGATCATTGAACGAAAGGAAGTTTTGTTTATAATATATATATTTCACCGAACCAACAGGGTCACACGCTTAAGGGATTATGATCTGTTGAGTTCTAAAGGAGTTAGGAGCACGAGAAAAACATTACCAAAATTTTTTGGTAATAAAAGAAATAGTTTCTAGAGAAACTAGAAGCATTTTGGAGTTACTTGAAGGGTTTTGGGGCCTACCTCGTAATACTAGGTAATGTTGGAAGGTGAAAAATATGCCAAAGGACCTAAAATAAATATAGGAGGACTCCAAGATTTATGAAGCATATTTTAATATTTTTAATACATGATTACACTTTTTAAATAGAATGATTAACATTTCTTCCAAATAATTTTCATCTCTACTTTTTCCATAAAAATTGTATATGTTTAATATATGTCAGAGACATTTATTTGGCTTACTTTTAACATATGTGAAATACATTATAATGCCACACAATATATTTTTAAACCATGAACATTTCAAACTATTTTGTAAACAATAAACAAAATTCATATACATTCGAAACATTTACCTTATACACGATTTTTTTCAAATAACTCCCTCTGTTCCCTAATATGAGACCTTTAGGTATTTCAAATTATTGACTACATCCATAATAAAATGAGTAAACATACATATTAAAATATGTTTAGATACATACGAATCAAGAAAATACTAACAGATCTTATATTGGAAATGGAGGGAGTATTATTAGTATTTTTTATAATGTCACATACATTTTTTGAAACATGTGATCATTTATCAATTATCATGAATTTTTAATATGCTATAACCATTTTTTATCAATCTAACAATTATTTTATAATGTGTTCACAGTTTTACGTTTTTTTATTTGGAATATATGTATTTACAATATTTGGGAAAATAAAAATAAAAGGAAAACAAAATGGAACTAAGCCGAAAACATGAGAAAAGACGAAACATGAAACCCTGATACAAGCGGTCGCTCCTATTTGGCGCATAGCGCCCTAGGTGACGCGCAAACGCGCCGCGCGCTTCCGGGCCGTGTGCTGTTCAAGATGCATATCCTTTTCGTCTCTTTTTATTTTTCCACTTAAACTTTCAAAACCGCTCAAACAAAAAAAAAATAACCTTGAAAAAAAGAGGTTCTGGCTCGAGATCGAACTAGCAACCTCGTCGGACGAATGTTAGTGCGGCAACTACCAGGCCATATCACTAGCTTGTGCAGAATTGCTTCTTTTTGTTTCTTTTATTTCGGCTTTCAGCTCGGTTTCTTCTTTTTCTTCTACCCTTTTCTTTTTTTCTTAAATGCGCATATATTTTAAAATTAGTATTTTTCAAAATTAATTAATATAAAAAAATCATGGTCTTTTGTGTAATTTGTTTAACTTTTTGCAGGTTCGGAGAATTGGGGCCCACTAGCGCTCCTGGTGGCCCGGCCCAAGAACTTTCAACTTTTTTTTACTCCTGTGAGGATTTGAGCTACAGCTAATGAGAGCAAGTAATTGATTACAGCCTAAAAAAATTAAGAACTACCAGCGCTATTTCTTACACATGCATTTTAGACACAACGTGATCTTTTTGGGGGGACAATGTGAACAAAAATCTAAGAAAACACACTAATTAGAAAAAAGTTCATGCACTAAAAAAGTTCATGATTTTGTAAAACAAATTCATCAATTTCTTAAAATGTTCACAAATTTGAAAATGTTCATATGCAAAAACGTTTATCTATTATTTAAAAGTACACACATTTGAAAAAAAGTTCATCAATTTTCGAGAAAAGTTCAGAAATCCAAAAAAATCATTAATTTGAAAACAAGTTCATGAATTTTCAAACAAACTTCACAAACACGACAAATATTTCATTGATTTTCTAGAAAATTTCACAAACTCAAAAAAAGTTCATCAATTTGAACACAATTCATCTGTTTCAAAAACAGTTAAAAAATTCGTTAAAATAGTTCAGTGATTTTAAAACAAAATCATCGATTTTGACAAATGTTTAAAAATTCATAAAAATTGTTCTAGTTTTATGAAAAAGTTCACAAATTCCTATAAAAATGTCGATTTGAAAAAAGTCACAGATTTGGAAAGTTCACAAAATTAAGAAATGAAGAATTGAAAAAAAAGAAGAAAAGAGAGAAAGGGAGAAGTAATCACAAGAGGTGATGTGACTCGGGTGGTTATGGCAGGTTATTATAAATGGGAGATCGAGTCGCGCCAACCCACCTCACGGCCACGTTTTGCTGTTTTAGCAGGAAAAAAAAATCTAAATGGGCCGGCCCAGTTTGGCGGGGCGGGGTTGGGTTTCAACCACCTTATGTTGTGACAAGTGGCACGTTTCATGTGCGTCATTTGTCACAACCTAGAAGTTTTCCTTTTTTCGTATATCTGTTTATTCAAAATGTTTTATCTCTTAAACGGTGCATTTTATCTCGAAAAGCTACGAAAGAATGATGAAAAACCAAAAAAATTGAAGAAAAAAAACCCATCTACGTGCGAAAAAAATCAGGAGGGAGCAGGCGACACGTGGTGGTGGGTGAGTGCATGCCAAGTGGCGCGCTTTCAGTTCATCGCAAGTGATCGTTGCAAGGCTTCCGAAGGAGCGCTCGTCTACTAGTTGCTCTTGCCAAATAAGGATTGTTGTCTGCGAGCGAGCGTGCGGGGACATGTGCGAGCGTTGTTGGGCTGGTCCAGCAACCCAAGACACGTAAACGCACCGAGCACTTCCGGGCCAGCCCATGGGCTATGCAAGAGTACCCATATATTTATATTTCATTTTTTTGCCTTTTCCTTCCATTTTTATTTTTCTTCTTTATAATAATTCATTACTTAGAAAATTTTCAACTTTTAAACAAATTTATAATTTTTAGAATACTTTTCAGGAATTTGAGAAAATAACCATGGAATAAGTGTTTTTCCGCAATTTAAAAAATGTTCGTTGATTCAAATAATGTTCTCTTATATGAAAAAATGTTTGTGGATCCAAAACACATGTCTACGTATGCAAGAAAATGTGTATGAATTTCAAAAAAATCATTGTTACATAAAATATTTATCATTTCGAAAAAAAATCACGAAATTGCAAGAATGTTTGTGTGTTTGAAAAATGTTAAAGACTTTAAAAAACATGTTTGTTAGCTTGTAAAAAGAGACATGAATTTAAAAAATAGTCCTCGAAATTGAAAAGAGTTCATGAATTAATAAAATTGTCTGTGAATGAAAAAGTGATTTAGAATTCAAAAAATGTCTTCTAATTAATGTACGTGAATTATTAAATGTTTGCATATTCAAAGAAAGTCCATGATTTCAAATAATGTCCAGGAGGATGGAAAAAATGTTCATGGGTTCCAAAAATATTTCAATTCTGAAAAAATATTCATGGATCCAAAAAATGTTATTCTATCAAAGAACAATGTTTGCGGATATACCAAAATGTTATCGTATTCAAAACATATTTTTAATTTCAAAAGATGTACTAGATTCTGAAAAATATTCATGATTTCGAAACATGTTCATGAAATTCGAAAATTATTTCTGAGTTAGAAAAATGTTATGACTATGAGAAAAATGTTGAAAAATTACGAAGAATGCATGTAAATGAAAAGAAAAATGTATGCAAATTCAGAAGAATGCAAAGAAATGAACAAATCACAAGCTTAGAAAAAATGTTCGTGAATTAAAAATTGGATCACGAATTGTATATTTTTAAATTCAAAAATTATTCATAAATTCCAGAAAATGTCAAGAAATTAAAAATAGAAAAATTAAAAAGAAAAGGAAAGAGGAAAAAAAACCAGGCGAAAATAAGAACGTTTCATGGAAGTTTCTAGTCGCTTTTCAAAACCGGTGAGAAAAAAAGTATGGACCAGCCCATACCAAGTACATGACGCATGGGGAGGGTATGCGCTGTGTTGCTATCCAGCGACCAGCGCGTGAAATAGTAATCGCCGCGAGAGTATATGGGCCCCGCGGCGTGTTTTAGCTGGGCTGGCCTGGTCAGTTGCTTCTGGAAAAAGAAGAGAGAGGGCGGAAGAGAGAGAATGGCCCTTCGTCCAAAAATAAATGTTTCAATTATAGTATAACCCTATACTAAATTTATTGCAAAATAAAGACACTCACTTTGAAACGGAAGGAGTATATGGATAAAGCCCAACAATGAGAGAGAGAGGGTGGGAGAGAGTGTGGATACATTGTTTGTGTTTCAGATCAAAATCTTTGTCAGTAGCCTTCCAGATAAGAACACGTGGTTAGCTAGTGAGGAGTGGGAGAGCAGCTCTCCTGCCAGGAGTAATGATTTTCAAAAAATAGTAATGAGTGGGCCCCGTTGATGGCCTCGGAATGCACAGAGGTGAGGTGAGGACAAGAGAGGAAGGTGGCCGGGACGGAACGGCCACGGCCACGGCCAACGAGCAGGTGACAGAGAGAGAGGACCAACTTGAGCAACAAGTAGAACAGAGCACCGTCGGCGACTATACTTCCGACCATCTTCTCCAACACATCCTTCTTTCTCGCCTGCACCTCAGTCCTCACACAACAAAACGCCGACGACAAAGCTACTCGCCATCTGAACTGAAAGTCTGAAACGTCGGCTCCTCGCCCCGTGGGCTGCTCCGGCGATGGAAGACGGCGGGAGGAGCACGCAGTGGCGCTTCGCGGCCCCGAACCCGACCTTGTCGGCCGCCGGCGAGAGGAGCATCCAGAAGGCCCTCCTCCAGGTGCACGCCTGCCTGGACGAGCGCGGCCCGCGGCCCGTGATCCCGCTGAGCCACGGCGACCCCTCCTCCGCACCCTCCTTCCGCACCGCGCCCGAGGCGGAGGAGGCCCTCGTCGCGGCCGTGCGCTCCGGCGAGTACAATGGGTACCCCACCCCTGCCACCGGCCTCCCCGCTCGCAGGTCTGTGTCCGTCTCTCTCGTTTGCCATTGTCTCTTTCAGAACATACATGGACCGCCTTGAACTGAATGAGTGAACTACAGACTACAGAGTGACTGCTATTGCTATTGCTAGGTCCTAGATTTTGTTTGTGAGCTGATACTAGCTATATGTATAAGTTTGTCATGGAGAGTTCACATAGTTCATACCACAGACCTACTTTGCCCTATATTAATCTTGCATGTGATTTCCCCCTTATCCGTTTCAATTCCAATGATTTGGTTTGTCTTCAGCAGCTTCCCCAGATATTCTAAACATTATAGATCACTCCCAAGTTCCATTATTGTGAATGAAACTTGTGATAAGAAAATGTTTACATATATGATCTATCATCCAACATTTAGGTTATTACAAAAGCAGGGCACAAATGTGAGTCGTCACACTCCATCCTGTTCTGTGCATTTTCACAACAGTTCTGTCTCCACAGCAGCAGCAGCAGCAGCAGTGCTATAGTTGGCTGCGGACCATTTCTAAACATAGCCTCTTTAATTGACTGGACATACACCAAGCACATGCAAGCAGCCTATTACCCTAATAATTCCAATCAAAAGCCTATTGAGGAAGCAACCCTACGAGAGACTGGAGACATTCATAATCACATGTAAAAGCCGATCAGCTAAGATGCAGCGTTTTAGGCTGCACCTCTTTCTGGGCAAAAGTGAACAATCAAAGGCGAAGCCAAATCAAATGGAGTGCCGTCTGTTACTAATTTGTTTGGGAGACATAGAACATTCCAAGATTTCAATATGGACTAGCAAAAAAAAAAGGTACAACCAACCAACATGACTTTTTCCATCCTTGTTCAGAAAATGTTCCAACTAAGCACCCCAAAGGTATCCGAGTTTCAGTAGGCAAAGAGGACAAGTTAAAAGCACAGAAAAATGAATTTAAAGCATCGATAATGTTGTATGGGACCATGGTTCAACCAAATCAACGCTCCACGCCGTTGGTCTCTGGAAACCACTTTTTGGAATACGTGCATGGTGGATAGAATATTGCATCGCGGGAACAATTTATGCTAGATGGCGGGAACAGTTATGCATGGCGTCAATAGTTTATTGAAGGTTAGGAGCCTTACATTACTGAAATAAAGCCTTGTAAGCATGTACAACGAGATATTGGTTTCTTCACCCTGAGAAATAAATCAATCAGGGGTTGAACACACATCGGCAATGTGCGCCACTGCAACCACACCACTTGGATATCACCCTGTTCTCACAAAAGACATAGAATAAATTTGGGAGCTACCATCAAACGTTGCCAAAATAGAGAGTTACCATATTTATAGTACTTCTTAACCCCTTGCTCTCTCTGCATTAACAAGCTGACACAAAAGAAGTAATGCTCTTCGAAACGCCTCTAGTTATCGGGGAGAAAAAGAGAGGATATAAGAGGGAATATTTCTTCCAAAAAGCAAGTACATTTTCCACCTTCATCTTCATCATTTTTCCTATCTAGATGGAACATTTAATCATGTATACATGTCTCAAGATTCAGCAACCACCAAGAGTGTTCTTCAAAGTACGACGGTCTATGAAAATCTTTCATGTGTTGTGTATGTTTTTTTTTTGAAAAGGAGGTTAAACCCCCCGCCTCTGTATCAGTCGATGCATGCAGTCATCTTTATTAATTATTCCACGAAGGTCTGACAAGAACATACATCAAGCCACCCGAAGCCTCCACTCATACTTACTACCTCCGTCCGGGTTTATTGATCCCCATTGTATTTCGTGCCAAATTTTGACCATAGTTTAAACTAACAAAATGTTCACGCATGTCACCAAACATTATATTTTTGAAAACTATGTTCAAATACGAATTCAGTAAGATAATTTTTCTTGACATGCATTAACATTTTGTTAGTTAAATCTTTAGTCAAAATTTGGCACAAACTACAAAAGGGACCTATAAACCAGGACGGAGGTAGTACAAACTTGATAATGTGGAGTGCTCTCGCTCCCCATATCTATAACCGATGTCGTCGCCGATCCATCCATATAACGTATCGGAACCAACAACCTGTGCAGCAGACCTAAAGCGTACAACACATGCACACGTTTTAGAAGCCACCATCATCATTGAGCCGCTGTCCCATCTTCAGGAGAGAGATCCGCATCATCCTTGCCAGTCTGGCCATCCGTCGACGCCACAACGGCGCCCAACAACTCCACCGCCCTGCACTCGTCCATCCCAACGCGGAGACTCTGGAAGATCTGTCGTGCATAGCATGTGCCGACCAGGCATGACACAGCGTAGCACCTGTCGGCCAGGCATGACTTGACATCTCCATCGAAGCTCTGTTCAAGACGAAACCGCTCCGCCTCTTGCCTCTGTCTTCAAGCGCTGCTCCACAAACGATGCTCGCAAGAGAGAAACGACACCGTACTGCCGCCATCATCCGATCTGGAACACCAGATCCTAGGGTTTCCCTCGGAGCAGCACGAGTGGGTCAACAGTAGTTACACGACGATGCCTTCATCAAGGTAACGACATAGAACGCTGCCATCGCCTGCCATCGGCTCGGTTTTCACTAGCAACTCTGTCTCCCCAACTTGCAGCCGGGACTAGATGACGGATCTCGAGATCCGACCACCCAGCCTCTGGCCAGCCACCTCCAACGGAGAAGACGACCACCACCACCGGCTGCACCAGCCAGAACAGATCTGCCCGAAGGTGCCGCCAAGCAGTCCACTAGGCCCTCGAAACCGCCGCCGATCCAAAGCCAGATGATGCGCCGCTGCAGCATAGACCGCACGCCGCCGCCCGAACCAGGCGTTTCGCCGCACGCAGCCGCCCGTGACCGGGCAGCCTAACGCGCCTGCATCCGCCATCGCCCGGGGCAGGGCAGGCCACCGCCGCCGTCGCCGCAGCCATCGCCGCCGCTTTGCTAGATCGCCCGCGCCTCCACGCGCGTAGGGGCCCCGCACCACCCCTGAGACGCGGGAGAGACGGCGGCGGCAGGAGGAAGGGAAGGAGGTGGTTTCGGCCCCGACGGCGGCTAGGGTTGGGTACCACCCGAGTCGCCCGAGCGGGGGCGACGCGGGGTCCGTTCACTTTTTTTTGATGCCGACGTAGTAATATGTATGTGCTGATCTTCAAAATAAAATAAAATATGTATGTGCTGTGTTACTTGTGTTGAAACTGTCTGTTGAAATGCAGGGCTGTTGCCGAGTATCTGTCACGTGATCTTCCTTACATGATTTCCCATGATGATATTTTCCTCACTTGTGGAGGTAGCCAAGCAATCGAGACTGTGATGTCTGTTTTTGGCCAAGCAGGCGTCAACATATTGCTGCCAATGCCTGGCTACCCAAAACACGAAGCACATGCTGTGTTTCATAGGATGGAAGTACGGCATTATGATCTTCTCCCGGAGAGAGGATGGGAGGTTGATTTGGAAGCTGTTGAAGCTCTCGCAGATGGGAATACTGTTGCAATTTTGATTACCAACCCCAACAACCCATGTGGTAGTGTGTATACCTACGAACATTTGGCCAAGGTTAGTATTGCGTTTGTACAGAGCTAGGCAACCTTTCTTCTCTTTTTATTTGTTGTAATAGAGCTTATTTTGTTGCTTCCATGTTCAATTAGATTGCAGATATAGCAAGCAAGCTCGGTATTTTAGTCATTGCTGATGAAGTATATGGTCACCTTGTCTATGGTACCACACCTTTTGTGCCAATGGGTGTTTTTGGAGAGACTGTTCCGGTAATCACTTTGGGAGCTATATCAAAGAGATGGGCTGTACCTGGCTGGAGGCTTGGTTGGATAGCAACTTGTGACCCTAAAGGCATTCTGAGAAAAACTAAGGTGAATCTTATTAATATCTAAGTGCATCTGTTTGTAAATTTATTAATTTAGATCACTTCAGGATGTTCATACTTGTAACAGAGTTGTATTATTCTTACTAACTCCTAACTGGTAAGGTATGTGAGGTGTGAATTGCGAGTTCTGAAATACTGGTCAGCACGTCCTGCATGTTCGTTCCTCTAAAATTTCCTATGAGGATTAGTTGCTTCCACCAACTCAAACTTTAATTTGTCAGTCATATACGATGTGGTAAGGCTGCAGATATATTATTGATCCTTTGATATTTAATTGATTTTTCTCTGATGTGTCTACTACTAGGTTGTTGATTCACTCAGAAGCTTCATAAGTATAATATCAGGTCCTGCAACATTTCTTCAGGTTAGTCAACAGTGTGATGTCAGTCATTTCATCACCTTTACATGATATCTAGGTAGTTGGATAGTTAGCAAACTTGGAAAGTTCCTATTTCTCTACTTTAGCATAGTTACTTTAAGGAAAATTCATGTGGTAGATGAACAGTCTTTTTGTTTACACGCAATACACAGTGAGAATGCATGTACTCCCTCCGTCCGAAAATACTTGCCATCAAAATGGATAAAAGAGATGTATCTAGAACTAAAATATGTCTAGATACATCCCCTTTTATCCATTTTGATGACAAGTATTTCCGGACGGAGGGAGTAATTCCTATTAACATTTCAGAAAACCACACAAGCACCGGTTCCTATTTTATCAGACTGAATCTGACAAGTGGAACTTACCATCCAGCAGCCGCAGTTTGTGTTTTCCTGTCAAATGTGTCATTCTCTAATAGTTTTGATGAAATGTGTAGTTTGAAAAGTAAACAAAAATAAACTATTTATTTAGAATTTAATTATAGCACATTTAGAAGTATCTAAATTAAACTTTGGGTCATATGTATGATCCTAGTGCAACCACTAGTTCGTTTCTCCACCACCAAACAAAAAAAAATCGAGTCCTAAGGATGTCTTACTTTATCACACTTCACTTTTTAAAATTTTAAATTTTTTTGCTAAATGTGCTTTCTGTTTTTCATTATTGTCAATAAACTGCATATTTCACGAAACCTCGCATATTTTGATTATTGTTATTACTGCCGTGTCACATGTCAGTTACACCGACAGGTAAGTCTCATATGTCAGACTCCATTTCAACTAATGGGATTCAACAATAATGCAGTTTATTGGAACCTTGTGCTAAAATATGTGTAATTTGATGAAATACAGTCCAAACTAACATGTGTAATTTTCTGATAATTACACTGAAATATGTGTAGTTATGTGGAATCTACTTATTTCAAATACCTCTATATGCAATGATGCGTTTTCTCCGCTTTTGTGTGGAGTAAGAAACCAACTAATTGCACTGGTTTGTTACTCTGATGTGGTTGATGCAAATCATAGACATGCAGTGCGTTTTTTGTGCTGGAAAGGAATCACCTGCTGCTTAAATAATCAGCACCATACTTCACCTGTTTTAGCAGGATTAAACCTTTAGAGAGTAAACTAGTATGGTTTCCTGTCCGACAAGTTTCAAGTATTTTCATTAGTGATTTGGGTGCATAGTGTTCCCATGACATTGTCGTAGAGGGTTGAAAATATCACATCTTCTAAGTTGTCTTGTCCATGCACCAGGGAGCTATTCCTCATATTATCAAGAACACAAATGATGAATTCTATAACAACATTGTCAAGCTGTTGAAGGAGACTGCAGATATATGCTATGATGCCATAAACGAAATCAAGTGTATTACCTGTCCCCACAAACCAGAGGGCTCATTTTTTATGATGGTAAGGCACATATAGAGAACAATGTTTGCAGCTTCACATTGTTGGATGTTGAAAGGAGGTGGACTAACACTATGTTCTGCAGGTAAAACTGGACGTGTCACAATTGTCAGACATTCGTGACGACGTAGACTTCTGCAGCAAATTGGCGAAGGAGGAATCAGTTATACTGTTGCCTGGTATGCAGTAGCAGAACAGACGAATAGCTGTTTACGTCGAGATGCAAACACCCCTGATGATATATTTTCAGCACACCATTCTTTTCCATTTGTTGTTTGAGATATGCCCTAACTTCTAACTGCTATTTGCAGGGAAATCCTTGGGCATGATGAACTGGTTGCGCATCACCTTTGCTTCGGAGCCACCTACACTGAAGCAAGGGCTCGAAAGGGTGAAGTCTTTCTGCAGGAGGCATCAGTCACAGGCCAATTAGCGCTCATGAGTTGGTGGTAACACCGCGTTACTTTCCTCAATGCCTATTGGGGCTTCAGTAATGGCTTAGACATCATTTCCAATAAATAATATAGGGGTTTGCCAAAAAATAGTGCACTGCCATGTGCAACATGCACAGTTTATGTCATGATTGTCTGCTCCCTTCACTTGTAGTATTGCGTATAAGTTATCATTCTTTCACATTGTGAGATCTCTTTACATACGACCAAATATTTATGAGAGGTCCTTTCAAAAAAATATTTATGGAAGGTTGATGCATGGGTGATTGGGTGGGTTAGGCGTATATACAGTGCCTTATGATGTTGTTTTCCTATGTTCTCAACCGAAGCTCTCATGTGGGTGAGGATTACAATATTAGACTGAACACAAGCTGTAATATTAATTAAATTAAATGAAATACCAGAAATGTTTGAAGGGGAAAACACTTCAACTACTCTAGACATCTACTCCCTCCGTCGGAAAATACTTGTCATCAAAATGGATAAAAAAAAGATATATCTAGAATTAAAATACATCTAGATATGTTCCATTTTATTCATTTTGATGACAAGTATTTCCGGACAGAGGGAGTACATGAAACCCATGATGTTGATAGACGTACCTTTGTCGGTCCTATTTTTAACAAAGGGTACGTGCCATCAATGAAAAGCGGATTTTCCCCACCTACCAACACCTAGATACGTTGCATCATATATACAGTCGAAAGTTTTGCTGCAAAAAACATATTCGTATGCATCCTGGGCAAGAAATAGAAAAAAAAAACTTACAATTCGAACACCATGTAATTTAATTTCCAATATGGAATAATTTATGTTTCTCATGCATACTCATACAGTAATTTTTTTTGCACCGAATCATGTAGGTGAACATGTTGTATCATGATCTATATTTCTAAAAGTGCATCTTGGCGTCTAAGTATGTTTTGATGATCATGGGCAATTTATCAAGAGATTAATGAGTTTACTAGGAGTGTACACAAGTATTTAATTGGTCTCACATGCTTACGACCACTTAAAAAGATGATGAAGACCAGCGGCCGCCACAGATCCCCGCTCGGTCACCCCCCGCTCGCGTGACTCGGGTGGCTACCCTAGCTGCCGCCGAGGCCTAGCCCATCTTCCTCCCCTCCTTCCGCCGCCGCCGGAGGACGCCGCCGGCTTGCGCCCGGAGGCCGACGGCAGTGGCGGGGGCTCTTCCTCCCTCCCGCGTCTCAGGGGTGACGGGACCCCAACATGCGTGGAGGTGCGGTCGATCTACAATCGACGGTGTTGGCTTCGACGGTGGTGGCGGCCGGCCATGCATCGGGCCACGTGCGGCTGCTGCGGCGGCTGGCCTGGATCTGGCGGCGGCGCGATGCGGTCTTCGGCGGCATGTCATCTGGCTTTAGATCGGCGACGGCGTCGAGGGCTTGATGGACTGCTTGGCGGCACCCATGACAGATCTATTCTGGCCGGTGTAGCCAGTGGTGGTGGTCATCTTCTTCGTCGGCGGTGGCCGGCCAGAAGCTTGGTGACCGGATCTCGAGATCCATCATCTAGTCCCGGCTGCGAGTTGGGGAGACATGGTTGCCGATGAAAACCAAGCCGACGACAGGCGATGGCGGCGTTCTACGCCGTTACCTTGATGAAGGCATCGTCGTGTAACTACTGTCAACCCACTCGTGCTGCTCCAGGGGAAACCCTAGGATCTGGTGTTCCAGATCGGACGATGGCGGCACTACGGTCGTGTTTCTCTCTTGGGAGCATCGTTTGTGGAGCAGCGCTGGAAGTCAGAGGCAGGAGGTGGAGCGACTTCGTCTTGCATGGAGCTTCGGTGGAGATGTCAAGTCATGCCTGACCGACAAGTGCTACGCTTGGTCATGCCTGGTTGGCAGGTGCTACGCACGACAGATCCTCCAAGGACTTCAAGCTGTGTCGGCTAGTGATACTTGGCAGCATGGTGCTGAGGTGTATCAGTGGTGGCCGTGAAGTGTTCAACTGTTTGCGTGCAGGGAGGAGGTGTCGTTGGACGCCGTGGTGGCGTCGACGATAGCTTGAACGAGCAAGGTTGATGCATTAGTACAATTCTGAAGATGGAGCGGTGGCAGTTGGCGGCGGCGGCCTCTGAGAGCACACCGGACCAGTGTGTGCCCCAGACCTGGCAAGTGGCTAGGTTGGAGTCTCAGGTCTTAGATGTTAGACTTGTCTGCGATGTCTATTTGGTATTAGGCCCAGGCTATCTGCGCCCCTTTATCAACTGGATAGGTGTAGCGACAGTTTATTGCTTAGACGGCGGTTTTAGTCTTATTGTTGTATTGATTTAGTAAGATCTTGTGAGAATAATTAATAAAGTGGCCGTATGCATCGTCCAGATGCAGAGGCCGGGGGTCATCTTCCTTTTCTAAAAAAAATGATGAAATCAAGTTTCGGCATGGTTAAGGACCTTTCTTCCTCTTTAATTCAATCAAGTTAACTATATAGGAACGGCTAGGGGGCGACTACGATAGAAACAACCTTGTGGTGAAAGACCAGGAAAAACTAGTATGGATCGTTGGATTAGAGATGGATGGTACAAATGCAGTTACAAAACTTGCACCGGCAAGCTTCCAACAAACTTCAAAACCTATCTGGCTTGTGCATCTGCAATCCCATGGCTCAAGTTGATTGTAAGTGCATCTAGTGTCATCCCTAGCTTTCTCAACAAGGACTAAGTCTCAGGGTAGCAATATTCTCTTAAGATCCTCCTTTTTATATATTGTAATTCCCAAAAGCTTTGGTATGGAGTCGCGGCTCGGAGCTGGAGCGTAAGTTACGTACCAAGTTTGAACAGGCGTATATGGGACTCACTTCGATGGAGCGCCCTATGGCTAGGCGACAGTCATAGATTGCCTTGTTGGGTGAGGGGGAGGGGGCTTCAACACGACCTTCTGCCACTAGCACGCCTCCTACTGAAAGGAGAACAAGCTGATTCATAACCTGATGGTTGATGACATTGTTCTCTGTGACGCCCCCGATTCAATCGTACACTAATCATGCACGCAAACGTGTACGATCAAGATCAGGGACTCACGGGAAGATCACAACACAACTCTAAAAACATAAATAAGTCATACAAGCATCATAATATAAGCCAGGGGCCCCAAGGGCTCGAATACAAGTGGTCGATCATAGACGAGTCAGCGGAAGCAACAATATCTGAGTACAGACATAAGTAAATAAGTTTGCCTTAAGAAGGCTAGCACAAACTGGGATACAGATCGAAAGAGGCGCAGGCCTCCTGCCTGGGATCCTCCTAACTACTCCTGGTCGTCGTCAGCAGTCTGCACGTAGTAGTAGGCACCTCCAATGTAGTAGTCGTCGTCGACGGTGGCGTCTAGCTCCTGGGCTCCAAAGTCTGGTTGCGGCATCCGGGAAGAATAGGAAAACGGGGGAAGAGAGGGAGCAAAGCAACCGTGAGTACTCATCCAAAGTACTCGCAAGCAAGGAGCTACACTACATATGCATGGGTATATGTGTAAGGAGGCCATATCAGTGGATTGAACTGCAGAATGCCATAATAAGAGGGGGATAGCTAATCTTATCGAAGACTATGCTTTTGGCAGCCTCCGTCTTGCAGCATGTAGAAGAGAGTAGATTGAAATCCTTCAAGTAGCAACGCATAGCATAATCCTACCCGGCGATCCTCCCCTCGTCGCCCTGTGGAAAAGCGATCACCGGATTGTCTGTGGAAATTGTCTGGGTGTATTTTATTAAGTATCCGGTTCTAGTTGTTATAAGGTCAAGGTACAACTCCGGGTCGTCCTTTTACCGAGGAACACGGCTATTAGAATAGATAAACTTCCCTGCAGGGGTGCACCACATAACCCAACATGCTCGATCCCATTTGGCTGGACACACTTTCCTGGGTCATGCCCGGCCTCGGAAGATCAACACGTCGCAACCCCACCTACGCACAACAAAGAGGTCAGCACGCCGGTCTAAATCCTACGCGCGCAGGGGTCTGGGCCCATCGCCCATTGCACACCTACACGTTGCGAGGGCGGCCGGAAGCAGACCTAGCAACCTCCATTACAAAGGAAGTTGCGTTACGCAGTCTAACCCGCGCGTGCGCCGCTCCGTCGCTGACGTCAAGAAGGCTTCGGCTGATACCACGACGTCGAGTGCCCATATCTTTCCCACGTAGTTGGTTAGTGCGTATAGGCCAGTGGCCAGACTCAGATCAAATACCAAGATCTCGTTAAGCATGTTATTATGAAGCAACCACGAACGCCGACCAGGGCCAGGCCCACCTCTCGCCTAGGTGGTCTCAACCTGCCCTGTCGCTCCGCCACAAAGATCCACATAGAGGGCCGTCGGGACAAAGGTCCTTTCAGCCCCCAATCCGTGAATCACTCGCGGGTACTCTTCGAGCCGACCCGACTTTAGTCACCATTTGTAGTATGTATATATGTATAGTATATACCCGTGATCACCTCCCAAGTGATCACAGCCCGATAGTATAGCAAGGCAGATCGACAAGAATGTAGGGCCACAGATGATAAACTAGCATCCTATACTAATTATTTAGGATTGCAGGTAAGGTATCAACAGATGTAGCAACAATATTAGGCTATGCATCAGAATAGGATTAACGGAAAGCAGTAACATGCTACACTACTCTAATGCAAGCAGTATAGAGGAGAATAGGCGATATCTGGTGATCAA